TGAACAGTATTTAGATGGGTTGGCGACAGTAAGTTATGCGAAAGTATCAGGGATGGCTGTGCGTAATAAATAATTACGCCCGCTGGGGCTCAGGAACCGGTATAGGTTTGGTCGAAGTCTTGAAAAAAACGAGAGAGTTTTAATATTTCTTCTTACTTCCACTAGCGCTAGAAGGCATGCAATTTTCTGAGAACTGTAGACTCACAATGCTAGCAAACGTAGATCATCTGAATTAGTGAGAAATTATTTAATGCCAATAAAAGTGAACGTGCGCGTTCCAGGAGGTAATTGAGAAGAAGAAGCTTCGATCGCTGGGACAACACTTTCAGCCTCCTGACGTTTCAAAATCCGTCACGGATTCTTCATCAGAGGCACGCTCAGAAAGCGACAGCAGAAACGGGTAAGATATGCACATGAAATCGCAAACGTGAAAACACAATTAACGACGATTGCCTTCTTCTTCATCGATAGCTTGTTGGCTGGCATGCAGGCTCAGATTCGCTGAACTTTCATCACGCGCGTTGGACTGGGGCGTGATGATTTCTCGGCCATCTGGCTCTCCGGTGTTAGCGTAAGATGAAGCTATGGACTTTGTGTTCCCCAATTGGTGACTTGCCTTGCTCAACGTGAGTCTTAGCACCGAATAAGGATTGGAGAAATCGTTGTACTTGTTTTTGGATTCGAGGCCCGTGAACCATGACTGAAGTCATTCTCGGCTCACTCGATTGTCCCCTCTGGCAGGAATTTCGGCCTCGTCAAATTTGAATGTGTGGCCGGGTCTCCTCGAATGAGCCGCAACTTGACCTGTTGGTACCTGTTCGGCAATTTGCGTCTTGAGAAGTCTGCCAGTTTCTCCAACATAGTTGCTTGGGCCACAACTGCACGAGATCATCTAGGCGACTCCAGATATTTTTTGCCGTAGCAGTCGGTCTTACAGTCGCCTTTAATTCCTTTCCAAGTCCTGCGGTTGTTTTCTTGGCCAAAAGCTTCGACTAGTATTGCTTTAGTAGAGTATGGTATTACTTCTTTGCGGAAACTGGCGAAACTGTGTATCCTCGGAATTACTTGAGAATAAGTGGATAAGATCACTGGGACGAGCCTTTAGGTCCATTGTATTATCAGACGTTATCATTATCTTCCTCGTCGTCGCCGTCATAACCATATCTGATGATGAGTTCGAGCGTAAATCCGAAACGTCAGACGAAAAATAATTGTCCTAGTGATGGCATCTGCGCCTTTACAGATGCTCCTGTTTAAATTCCAAATGATACAGTCTACATTTTGTTCTCTCTATGCCAAATTACTGTGCTGGTGGCCAGGATGCGCCTATAGATACAATGCATATAAACTAGTTTTTGTACTGTCCTTATATTTTTTTGGAAAGATGTCTGTTATAATGCATGCTTTTCAATCCAAAAATGACCGTGGTCAACTTTAATGCTAATTAGCTCCAGTCAAAAAATGCTAATAAAGCCATATGCCTAAAAAGAAGGAACACTTAACATTTTCTGACTTTTGCAAAGTTGATCTTTTACTCTAAAAATAAAAAAAAACGAGCAACCAAGACAAGGACCATGATCACATCATAAATGTCAAGATGGCTATTTGTCCCGCTTCCCGGAGTTAACCGTTAATCTGACCCAAAACTAGATGTTTTCTCTATAATTTTAGTTCGCACAGCGTTAGATATAACCCTTACTATCCCGCCTTTAACTTGTACCAACATGGTAATCTTTACGACACTAAAATCCGCGCAAAATGGCCTTCAGTACGGGAGGTACTAATTTCTCTGCCCTACAGCAAACACTTCCTTATTTGGGAGATATATGGTCGTTTTCCATTTTTCCACGTAACAACGTGTTGAATGTAAACGAATATAATGTAGTGGGAACAGTTGGTGGACACTATACTGTGTTCTGCAGAGGTCAATTGAAATCACTTACAAAAGAATTGGTGAATAATAATTATTGGAATTTCCATTTCCCTGTGGAGATAAGGTAACAATTATGAAGATTGTGTGTTTGTTCGCGGAAGCGGTGGAATAAATCTCGCTATCAAATTAGAATTGCAAATGGCTTTATATAATTAAACAGTTAAACAGTATTATTAGAGTTTCATAATGACCTAGAGACCTATGTCGAAAGTCGATAAACAGAACATTAGGATTAATATATGGAAATCTAAGGAGGCTGATGGAATTGTCTTTACATTTCGGGGTCATCTTTATCGAAAATGGCCAAGCCTATCTTTGTGTGAAGAAGCAATGATACTAACGACTAAATTCCGTGTATAAAATACACACAGATCATGATTGTTAACACACATACTGGTTGTTTGATTTAGATCTTAAACGGTGCAAACTATGCCAAATAATGCCAAACAGTATTAAACCTTAATTCTAAAAAGTATTTTAGAACCGGTTGTAGGAGACTAGATAATTTATGTGAAAATTTAAAAATCGGCGATAGCGACAGCTTTTCCAAATTTAGTATGAAGGCTCTAGAGCTCTTGGCCTTAGGAATTATTTTGCTAGCTGATTTCTGCTGACAGTATTATTTTAGTTGCTTTGGCGATTATTTCAAATTATATTCTTATATCGGACTAATTCAGACAACACTGACTCCAATAAAAGTATTTACAAGGAAGAAATTTCAGAAAAGGAAAACAACATTTTATAGTCGTAACCGTTTACATTCATTTGATAATATGACACGAGCCTCAGGTTAAGATATTTTAGAGCATTCTAAAACCAACCCTGTTTGCACGCGGCCCCCAGAAGTAGATAATCAAGGGAATCCCTGACAGCATTTAATTAAGGCCACTGGTTATTTAGAGGTAATAGTTATCAGTGATCAAAGCAGACAAGTGAAATTAAATGCATAATATATATTATAAAATTGCTTTTAAAGTCACATTTAAGCAGCGCATTTACTGGAAGGGCTCGTAGGGTGATAGTTGGGTATTGACCCGCGGAACAGTTATGGGAGTCTGGACCAATAAATTAAAATTATAAAGTTATATGGAGAGGAGATATAAGGTGCCTCTGCCTGTGTTTTAATGGTAAACGAATTAAATCGACAATAATAATATAATAGGTAGTGGTAAAATTTTGATTTCTGGCTCACTGCTGCAAACGACAACCACAACGGAGGCGTTGTTAATAGGAGTTAATTGGGTCGGGCAAACTAGAGGAAAGACAAAAACTAAATAAAATGTAGAGCATTTACACGCAGAAACTGATAGGAACAAATATTTAAATAACCTAATTTTTGTAGACGAAAATAAGCGCGATGGTTGTCATGAAAAATACAGCCATGCAGAAAGAAAAACTGCAAAAAATGTGGAACTGCGCAAATCGTGGAAGCGCGCAACGAAATAAACTAAATTAAGATTAAATTAACAAAAGTAATTAATAAATCAAAAACTGAACTTAAAAATAAATAAACGTAACTTTAGCTAAGCACTAAAGAATAATAAGCTCGAACTGAAGTAAATCAAACTAAAAATAAATTCAAAATAACAAAACCAAATTGTGAAAGAAACACGAAAGTAAACTAGAATAAAAATAAACGTAAAATAAACGAAAATCATCTAAAGACTAAAGTAACTGAAGTAAGCTAAACAGGTTGGTGAACAAATCGTGCCTATTCTTACTAATTAATTAGGCAGTTATACAAAGTGAGCATAGTAAGCTCGAAATTGCGCTGTTACTCAGTATATTAATTAATTATTTGGGCTTGATTATAGTCTTGTTTGAATGCGCGTGTGGGTGGCGATTACTATTGTGTAGCTTACTGCTCCAAGTTACTATCGCCTATACCGGCAAATGTAATAAATCTGCTGATCAACTAGTACGCAGTTTGACGCCGATTGGATTTCTTTTACGAATCTAGGCTAATTATGATGATAACTGGTTTGTTTGAAGTTGATTCAGAAACAGCTTAATATAATGGGGGAATGTCTCGTCTGCAGTGTTACAGGCCCATAAATAAACATTTGCATATCGCTTTTGTCGTTTTTAAGCGCAAATGAAACGGAAGTACTGCGTAATCAACCGGCGCACCGCCTACAACCACACGATGCGCCTGGTATTTGCGCATACATACAAACTCCTTGACTGTTTTAGTACTGGAGAGTAACTGAACACCAACAATTTTTCTATATATAGGTCCCGCAGTACTAGTTTCGTAGGGTATCCGATTAAAGGAGTGAAAGCCGCATACACAATCGGAGATCGCTGATTATCCTGATTTAGGCTTAAAGATTACATAGAAGAGCGGTAACTAGCCAACAAGGAAAAAAGCGTTGAAGTACACGAGAAGTCCCTCTAGCAGGCAAACATTCTGGCCGCGAGGGATTCCTTGAATTGGCCTCCAGATTTGGCCTATAAATTAAATTGTTCCAGGCCGTATTTTAGGAATGTGAGGAGGCCGTACATCTTCCAATTGATGTCCATTGCCAACAGTAAACTGAAATTGCCAAAGTATGCAAGAACAAATTTTAAAAACGTGCAATATAGTGTAAAATAAATAGTATTCAACATCCACATTATATTTCCTATTTTCCACAATAGGCTGTTGCAAAATTCAAAAATAAGTCCAGTGGTTCCTCGGGTTATGACGATTTCGGGTAACGATCGAGCCACGCACAAAATTTATTTTTTGATTATTGAGCATCCATTTTGTAAACTAGTTGTCAGTGCGTGTGTGTGCTTGTGTCCGTCGTTAGAGCCTTTGTCGCGCGACAAATGTATTGAAAAAGAAGTGGTAATCGGGCAACTGATGCAAGAAGGTTTTGTAAAATAATAAATCAACTACTACTACTTAACCAACAAAAGTAGACTTTCTT